GGCAACAGTGGGGGAGGCACCCTGCACTAGCTGTGCCCCGCCACCCCCCCGTTTGTAACTAGGGGTCCGACGTAAGTCAGATTGATGTAACCCAGGGACTTCATGTATGTAGCAAATATTTATTTTTGTAAACGTATAACTGCTGAATTTTTCAGCAGTTACACATTTACATGCAGAGGGGGTAGGTGGGAGTCGGTTTTCACAGGTAACTGGCTCTCCACAAGCACCACCTGATACAGAGGCAGCAGCGTGGGAGGTGGGGGGTCAGGTTGCTCTATAGAACCGGTATGCACAGGGATCCAGCTTGAAAGCCAGCTTCCCACATGTACTGCCTGCCTTCCCCCCCACCCCAGCTTTTTTTGTTGGCTCCCCCCGAACACAGGTTCCCACCTGCCCCTCCCTCGCCATGTAGCTGCCTCTTTGGGAGGCAGCAAGGCAAGGACTGGCAGCTCTGCGGGAGCTGGTATGTGCAGGGAGCTGGCTTAAAAGCCAGCTTCCCATACATACTGGCTCTCGTCTGCCCCCCTCCGGCCCTGCACATCTGCCTCTTAGAAAAGCCAGCTCTGCAGGAGTTGGTGCTCATGGGGATCTGGCTTTTTTAAGATGGCTCTCCCCAAGCACCAGTTCCCACCTGTCCCCTCACGCTGCTATCTCTGTGGGAAGCAGTGGGGAGGGGGGAAGAAGTGGACAGGGGGCTACCCATGGGCACCGGCTCTTGCCTCCCCCTCCCTGCCCTTGCTGCCTCTGATACAGACTAGGGATATAATAATGTAGTTGATTAACCAATGATCAAAAGCTTATAGGTTAATCCTATAGACTACATGCTTTTCCCCTCCCCTCCCCCATTCCTTGCCAGTACATTTTTTAGAAGGCTGGCCAGCAGCCTAGCTTAGTCCCAGCTTACACTGGGTCTGGGACCTAGCTCTGCTGTGGTTCTGCATTTAAAGTGTATTAAGAACCAGGTGGGCAGGCAGCCCAGCTCAATTCTAGCTTGCGCCAGGTCTGGGAGCTCAGACCCATCCTGGACAGGGGCTGATGCCACCTTGTGCTGCTGCCTCTGTATCAGAGGCAGCAGTGCAGAGCGACAGGCAGCTGGTCTCTGAGGAGAGCTGTTTTTTTAAATTGGCTTCCCTTGCAGACCAGCTCCCACCTGGCACTCCTTGCTGCTGCCTTTGATACAGAGGCAGCAAGGAGGGCTGTGTGCGTGAAGTCATTAGGATTAACTGATAAACCCAGGCTTTTTGGTTGATTGTGTAAATGATTACATGCTAACAGTATTAGAATTATGTTTGTGAAGGAGAGAACCTCCATGCCCATATATTTTCAATTAAGTGGCAAAATTCATATTGTTAGTGAAATGAGGACCCAGTTTAATGATCAAATCCAGAAATCTCTTATTCAAGCAAAACTTCTGTTGACATCAGGAGCAGATAATTTTGCCACTGAAATAAATGGTAGTTCTGCCCACAGAAGGACAGGAAGATTTGACCTTATATCAATAGTTGATTTGACTGGATAACAGTTGTTATGTTCAGAATGAGATGTTCGGAATGTACTGAGCAGTGTACATTTCACTTAATTTATTTTTTATCTTCTATATGGAAAACAAACAATTTGGAAAAATGCATATATTGGATTATGCATCAACAGGATTTAGCATCACAGTATAACATTATTAAAACCTAACAAATATGATATAAAAGAGGGTTCTGAGGTGAGTATGTATGAACAGAAGATCTTTGCAGTTTGGCTTGTTGTCAGTCATCACTGTTCTTAACCACATACTATATTTGGAGATTTTTTTTAAATTTAAATTCATCATAAACTAACAGTGCATCCTATGCCTTTTGGTAAGAAACTAAAATTGAAGGATAAGAGTTGGCCCTGTGTCTGAAATTCCAGAATTGTACATCTAAAACTTAATATATTGTATTTATTTCAAAAAAATTGGGCCAAGTATTGTCTGTGTTGATATGTGAACAATATATATCTGATCATGTTTCTTTGTCATTTGTTTTTTCTATAGATTACCAAAGTGGCCTTGGAATACAACAACTGTAATAAAAGCCAAGCAGCTGAACCTGTTCCTCAGCACCTGAGAGATTTAAATCCACCAGCTATTGAGTCCATTGTAGCCCATGCCCATACACAACTGGCAGACGCATACTCCATAACAAAGTATCCATGCTGCAACACGGTGCTGCTCCCTCAGTGGCACTCCATCTCTAGGACTCACAATGTCTGTGAGCTTTGTGTAAACCAGACCCTTGGAGTCAAACCAAGTAAAGTTAATGTACCGCAGTGTAACTTTTTAGAGATAGAAGCAGCTTTGGACTCTTTCTACCTCAAGGAACGTACTTTTTTCCAATTTGTATCAAATACCATAGAATGCAGCAATTTCCTAAGTTTCTATAGTCCTTTTAGCTACTATTCTGCATGTTGCAGGAAAGTAAATAGGGGTCTGATAAATTTAATTAGTTCTGAAAAGACCATACTTCAGACCCCTAATGTAGCATTTTCTTCCCATGGGAAAGAAGATAAGGATGATACTCAACATTCTATTCCTCACATTGAGGAGAGGAATTGTTTTACTCCTGACCTTCATGTTAATGGTACTAACATTACTGGCTTGAGCTGCAGGACCAACAAGACCTTGAATCTCTATCTACTGGATTCAAATCTGTTTTGGATGTATGCAGAGAGGCTAGGAGCATCAAGATCTAATCATTTGAAGGAATTTGCTACTATCGTTGACCTGAAGGAAGAGACCCACTATATCCTGGATCAGAATCAAACACTTACAAAATCTACGATAGGTATGGTATGCAGCAATCTTGTATTCAAAATTTAAAATAAGCGAATACATTAAATGAAAATAGGATGGATTTGGCAAGGAATAGTAACTTTGGAGAACTTGTGTAATTGACAAAAGCAGTTCACTTTATAAAGTGAGGGTTGAAAGCATTGTGCATCTTTGTCTGCTTAATAATTAAACGGTAGATGATTTTTTAGGATATGATAAAGAAATATTTTCACAAACCAGTAATAACTTAGTTGAAATAGAAATTTTGACAACCTCAACCTCTTAGTATTTGTCAGTGCATTGACAATAGCTAGGTCATCAGACTTTTAGAATTTAGTGGTCAATCCATGAAACCAGATTGCCAACAGATTTTAAGAAGTGTCTCATAAGCTCAAATTACATAATTGCTGATGCGTCAGAGAAAATATCTATAATGCATTTTATTCCTAAAATCATGTACTTACAAAATGATGCATTTGATACACTCACATCATTTTATATTACAGAAGACATTTTCTGTGGAATTAGTATTGTTTGAATTCAGCAATGCCAGCTGTTGGTTAATGTCTTTCAGAATGCTAAGTAGGTAGTGAGCTGCTGTTAGTTACTAGGATCACAAGTGGGGTACGTGAATCTAAAAAGTACAAAATAGCAGTTTGGAGAAGTGACTTTTGTGAAAACTGACCATTTATTTCTATCCTTTACTCCCTATCTTTTACCAATTACTGATCTATGGGTACGTCTACACTACAGCGCTAATTCGAACTAACTTAGTTCGAATTAGTTAATTCGAACTAAGCTAATTCGAACTAACGCGTCTAGAACTAAAAACTAGTTCGAATTAGCATTTTGCTAATTCGAACTAGCATGTCCACATTAAGTGGACCCTGAACCGGGCTTAAGGATGGCCAGAAGCAGTGCTGGCAGGGCATCAGAGGAGATGCTGTCTCAGGCTAGCCGAGGGCTGCGCTTAAAGGGACCCGACCCCCACCCCGGACAGACAGTTCTCAGGGGTGCCCTGCTTGCAAACCAGTCCTGGCTTGGAGTGCCTGGAGTGCCCACACTGGGCACATCACAGCACTCGGCCATCAGACCGGCTGCACTTGCCGCAGGCTGCCATCTGGGGAGAGGGGGCAATTGGGGGGCTGCAGGAGAGCTTCCACCCCCAGAAGCCCGCAGAGCCAGCCCAGTCCTCCCCATCGGGAGCTCGTGCCCCATTCCTCCCTCACCTCTTTCCACTTACCCTTCCCTAGCCCCCCTTCCTAATGTACAAATAAAGAAAATGTGTGGTCAAAAATGGAATCTGTCTTTATTGAACAAAACTCGGGGAGACTGGGAAAAGGAGGTGGGAGAGGGGAAGAGAGAGGCTGGGAGAGGGGAG